CCCAGCCAAAACCAGCTATGTCCAGCTTAAACCGGGCTGGTCAAGCTGGTTTCAGCTGGATTTAGCTGGTCATTTTCAAGCCAGACCAGCTAAAACCTAGCTGGAAATGGCTGGAAACCAGCCTGGAAATGGCCAAAACCCCTCTAAAACCAGCCTGGTCAACCAGCTAAAACCAGAGCCAACTAGCCTAGGCTGGTTTAAGCTGGATTTTTCAGCAGAGTGTTAGTATGTCCAATGTAAAGTCAATGGCAGTTTTTTTTACAATGGAAGTCTATGGGTCAGTTGCTAGGGTGCAATACGTGGTTGCTAGAGTGTGGCTAGTAAGTTGAATGGTCATCAGTGGTTGGCAGATTGGTAGTCTGATTTATATGAGCGTAACCTTAAGTCTGTATAACAGTCTGGTGGAAAGTTATGAGGTTACAAAGTTTGGTCCAATGTTAAGTCGATGGGAATTTTCCAGGTCAGTTTTCGGAAAACCCCAAGTCTGACCAGTTTGGAGTTAGTTTGGTGATTGTAATGTGAACGGTCTAGGAGGAAATGCATATAGAAATTAGTCTCAGAAGAAGAACAATAAGATTATGTAGTACAAGGATCACCAAACTTGTTCCTGGAGGTCCGGTGTCCTGCAGATTTTAGCTCCAACCCTAATCAAACACACCTGAACAAGCTAATTAAGGTCTTACTAGGTATGCTTGAAACACCCCTGCAGGTGTGTTGAGGCAAGTTGGAGTAAACCCTGCAGGGACACCAGACCTCCAGGAACGAGATTGGCAACCCCGAATGTAGTATAACAGTATGTTTCTCAAGCCACCATAACAATGCAAATGAAGCATTAATCAGTTACAGGTTTATATTTATTTATGAAGAGTGTTAGCACATTATCCTTCTCATTTTTCACTCATTCTCTTTTTTGTATTTCAGACACAATCCTTCAACTTCACATCTCCAGACACAGACCGGCCCCGTGACCTCACAGGCTTCTCAGCAAAATTATCAGGCTGTATCTCTGTCTCAGTCACTGGCATTTCCTCCACCTCAGACTGGATTCGTGACTCAAGGACTGTCGACTTGTGTGGCCCCTTTTAGGCAGCCTTTCCAAGGGGAAACGTTTGCTATTGTCAGCCATGCCAAGCCGATCCTGGAGAGCTTGAAAGAAGAGAACCAAAACCTTAAACTAGAACTTCACAAGCAAAACGAGAAGGCCAGCAAACTACAGCAGGTACTTGCCTGTTTGCTTGTCAGTCTATCTTTATATTTTAATTACAGGATAGTTACTGCATACAGTAAGCAGTTCATAAAAATAACCTATTATGCCCCTTTTCACAAGATGTAAAATAAGTCTCTGATGTCCCTAGAGTGTGTGTGTTTGTGTGAGGTTTCAGCTCAACATAACACACAGATAACGTTTTATAACTCTCTGAAACTGACCCATTTGAGCTAATATCCTAATTGTGGGGTTTTGGTGACTGTCGCTTTAAATTCAAATGAGATTGTGCTGTTTTCAAAATAGGGTGGAGCTATGCGGCAGATTCAAAATTGTAATGGTGGACTGCTACTTACTAGTGGCGGTCTATGCTAATAAGGGAGAAATGGTCAACAGTGGGCGGGGCATTCCCTTCTGATGATACGTACAAAGGAGATGTCAATCAAAGTGTTTCTGCCGACTGTTTTTATCAGTTGTGATTATAAAAATTTATCCATTTTACTATTATAGGCTGGTTATATTCACACACCGTTTCTCCAAAAATGTGTTTAAACCCTTTATAAAACAGATTTTTGCATTATACAGTGCATCTGGAAAGTATTGATAGCGCTTCACTTTTACAGCTTCATTGTTACAGCCTTATTCCAAAATGGATTCAATTCATTTATTTCCTCAACATTCTACACACAATCCCCCATAATGACAATGTGAAAAAAAGAGTTTTTGAAATTGTTGCAAATTTATTAAAAAAAAAAAAGCTGATAAATCACAAGTACATCAGTGTTCACAGCCTTTGCTCAATACTTTGTTGATGCACATTTTGCAGTGATTACAGCCTCAAGTATTCTTAAAACATGATGCCACAAGCTTGGCACACCTGTCTTTAGGAATTTTTGCCCATTCCTCTTTGCATTACCTCTCAAGCTCTATCAGGTTATATGGGAAGCAATGGTGTACAGCCATTTTCAGATCTCTCCTGAGAAGTTCAATAGGATTTAGGTCTGGGCTCTGGCTGGGCCACTCAAGGACATTCACCGAGTTGTTGTGAAGCCACTCCATTGATATTTTGGCGGTGTATTTTGGGCCATTGTCCAGCTGGAAGATAAACCATTGCCTCAGTCTGGGGTCAAGAGCACTCTGAAGCAGGTCTTCATTCAGGATGTCTCTGTACATTGCTGCATTCATCTTTCCCTCTATCCTTACTATTCTTCCAGTTCCTGCTGCTGAAAAACATCCCCACAGCATGATGCTGCCACCACCATGCTTCACTGTAGGGATGGTGTTAGCCTGGTGATGAGCGCTGCCTGGTTTTCTCCAAACTTGACGCCTGGCATTCACTCCAAAGAGTTCAATTTTAGTCTCATCAGACCAGAGAGTTTAGTTTCTAATGCTCTGAGAGTCCTTCAGATGCCTTCTGGCAAATTCCAGGCAGGGAGTGGTTTCCGTCTGGCCGCTCTACCATACAGGCCTGATTGGTGGATTGCTGCACAGATGGTTGTCCTTCTGTAAGGTTCTCCTCTCTCCACAGAAGAACGCTGGAGCTCAGACAGAGTAACCATCGGTTTATTGATCACCTCCCTGACTAAAGCCCTTCTCCCCAGATTACTCAGCTTAGATGGCCGGCCAGCTCTAGGAAGAGTCCTGGTAGTCCAAACATCTTCCACTTTCAGAGCAGCAGAAATGTTTCTGTAACCTTCCCCAGCCTTGTGCCTCGAAACAATCCTGTCTCTGAGGTCTACAGATAATTCCTTTGTCTTCATGCTTGGTTTGTGCTTTGACATGCACTGTCAACCCTGGGCCCTTATATACACAGGTGTACGCCTTTTCAAATCACGTTTAATCAACTGAATTAACCACAGGTGAACTCCAATGAAGCTGCTGAAACATCCGAAGAATGATCAGTGGAAACAGAATGTGCCTAAATTTAGAGCTTCACGGCAAAGCCTGTGATTACTGATGTACATGTGATTTTTCAGCTTTTTTATTTTTAATAAACTCTTTTTTTCACAGTGTCATTATGGGGTATTGTGTTACTTTGAGGAAATAAATTAATTTAATTCATTTTTGAATTAGGCTGTGACATAAAACGTGGAAGTGAAGCGCAATCAATACTTTCCGGATGCTCTTTATGACTGCAACTCGAACTAAATACAGTTTCAGTAATTTTGGGGCTTTCTTTGAACATTTGCAGTTGGAGATCGAGGTTGCACGACTGTCCGAGGCACATGAGAGTTTAGTCAAGAGCTCATCCAAACGCGAGTGTTTGGAAAAAAACATGAGGAACAAACTGGAGGCGGAGATCAGGCGTCTTCATGATTTTAACAGAGACTTAAGAGGTGAGATTGTAATCTTTAATTATGCCGTGAACATGTTTGTGCACACATGTGTGGTGTGTGGGATTATTTCTTGCATTCTGTAAAAATACAGAATAGATTTCTTAAGAGAGTTGAAGATTGATGGATGGATGAGTGAGCTCAAGTAGCCTTCAGTGGAACACGGAGGAGTTTGTCCTGGTTTGGAGGTGCATTTCTGCCAGTGGTGTTGGCTGTGTTCTCTGGATTGATGGGATTGGGAATGCTGCCTTTAATTCTATTATAGCATTCTTCTAGAAAGCACCTAATTTTTAAGTTTCATTCAGTCATGAAGTGGCCTCCACAGTGTCCAGAGTTTAATGTTACAAAGGCAGCTGGGGATCACCTGGACAGAAAAAGAAAGATATGACGGTCTAAATCTGAAAATGTACATTGGGAAGTGCTGAACGAGGCATGCTATTACATATAAAACATAAATTCTGAAACTTCAGGATAGTCTTCCCAACTTTTCTGGATTTAATGCATCATAATTATCATATGATGCATTTAATGCATCATATTCGTTCTTTCCTCTTTTTGTGATGCCAAGAAATTAAATCATGCTTTTATTTTCTCTCGCCTTGATTATTGCAATGCTATTTATACTGGTTTACCTAAGGGTTCAATAATGAAGTTGCAAGAGTTTTAATGAAATTAAATCCAGAGTTTTAATGAAATTAAAGAAACGAGAGCACATCACACCCGTATTAGTAGAATTACACTGGTTACCCGTGCACCGAAGAATAGATTTTAAGATTCTTTTATTGGTTTATAAAGCACTTCACAACGTGAAACCTTCCTACATTTCCGACTGTTTATCAAAATATAATCCAAACCGTTTGCTACGCTCTTCTAGCGCTGGACTTTTAGAATTTTACTCTGTAAACCTGATGCGATCTGGCGGCACTTCTTTTAGCCATTATGCTCCAAAAGTTTGGAACTGTCTCCCTCATAAAGTGAAAGACTCCCCTAGTATTCATGTTTTTAAAAAGCGTGTTAAGACACATCTTTTTAAAATTGCGTTTGAATACACAAGCTTTTAAGGTGTATGCATTTTATCTATATTGTTGTAGGTTTATGTGTGTATGTATGGTGTGTGCTTGCATATGGAAGGACTATTGTGTGCGTGATCATGTGGATATATGCTTATATTTTGTATACATGAATGCTTTTATCTGAGTATGTGTAGCAAGTTTATGTGGTCTATTTTAATACTTTTTTGTTGTTGTTTGTGAGGCACTTTGAGTTGCATGTATGTTGGAAAAGTGCTATACAATTCAAACGTATAATTATTATTATTATTATTATTATAAACTGATGTCATCAGAGAAGGACGGCCATTCTTGAGCAGAAGGAAATAGTAAGATTTTGATTAAAGACTACCAAAACAGTAGATTAACTTGCATCGATCAATTGTTCACCATTAGACTGACATTGTGTACATGTTAGTACATTTTAATTTCATGCGAATGTTGCACTCTATTCGATTTGCTCTGGAGTAAATAACACAAGATCGTGACCAAATATTGCCTTTAAATGTACCCAAAGTGAATTATATTGCACATTTAACCACCATACAGACATCGGTTTTTGGGTGTGGCTTAGCAAAGGGTCAATTAAGGTTGACATGCCTGCTCTAGAAGAATCTGTTTTTAATGTTGTTATCCTGTGTTTTCTCAGAGCGTTTGGAAACAGCCAGTCGACAGCTGGAAAGTCAGGAGCTCGAGGGACAAGATGATGGACCGTTATATCTTTTACAGAGTGAGATTTTATTGCATTGTTTTATATTATTGCAGAAATGTCAACTCAAAGTTTTTCACTGCCTAAATGCAATATGTGTCTAGTCGCTCCATCCCTCCCTTAAAGGTCCTGTGAAGATCAAATAAAGTTCTTTAGCTGTTACAAGCAGTATGTTAGTTTTAAGAAAATCTATAAGCTAGTGCGCTCCAAAACAGTGCCAAAATTCACGTGTAGAAGATATAAACCTGATGGAAACATCCGACGCTTGTAGTTTGTCACTTTCGCCTAAATGGCGATTTATTTCACGTTCATACTTCAGTTTTATAAAAATCCTGGCCAATCAAATGCTCTCTAGTATCTGACATGCCCCGCCCCCTTCAAGACGCTTCTCATTTGATGCGCTGGAGCTCAGGCACTCTAACTAGCAAAGCTGTTATAAAAACAAAACACTACTGGCTGTTATTTTAAAGGAGAGGAGCTACTCCGTCCCACCCTCTCTTCATTTTCAGTCGAGATTACATCAAAACAGAATAAAAAAAGCAGATTTTAAAGCACTTTACGGGACCTTTAATTGCACTTCAATCTCACTTGCACTTAAATGTCATTCTCTGAGCTGTATTCTTGCTGTCACAATGTTTTTAGTACATCCAAAGAAGTGAAACATAAAGCATAAAGCGCCGGAAAAGAGGCCTACGACACCTCACTTCATTTTCATAATCACTTTCGTTTTCACATTGGGGTTGAGGGCGGCGTGATCGTCCTCTGCCTAGAGCGGCAGTTCAGCTTGCTCCGGCCTTGTAAAGATGCGAATAGACATCTTGCGGTGCGAACGACTCTATTTGCATGAATGAAGCGCGTCTGACGCAGGATTCGTTCAAATTGGAAATCCTTAACTTTAGCGGACATTCACTTTAACCAATCAGGAGCTTGCTCTAGTATAGGCTTGATTATGACTTAGCGCCTGTTGTTGGTGTCCTGAAGGGTAATGCTCCTGCCAACACCGGACAACAGCTCATCAAACTTGGCTCGGCTCAGTCTTAAGCACCTCTGAAAGCTTCCATCAGCCAGTTACAGTTTCTGGAGGAGTTGATGATCTCACAGAGCTGGGTGCACCTCTGAAAGGATCCAGTGCACTCAGACAAAGCGCCAAACGAATATAAGCTGTTTTTCAGCCTTCCTAAAGCATTAATGCTCTCTCAATAAAATCCATGTTAGCCATTTAGCAACGAAGCTAGAGTCACCGGGCAGACAGTCGCCCATGACACGTATCCGCATCTATTGTGAAGTAAATTTCATGTGTGAATAAAGCGAGTAAACTCAAATTATTCACGCGTCTATTTGTGCGCGAATGTCGCGATTCATTCATGCATGCCGCGTCTAGTGTGAACACAGCATAACAGTTACCTTACTCAGATTTACTAGTGTATACTACTAGAATGCAGTAGGTAGTGCTGTCGCCTCACAGCAAGAAGGTCGCTGGTTTGAGCCTCGGCTGGGTCAGTGGCATTCCTGTGTGGAGTTTGCATGTTCTCCCTGTGTTTACATGTGTTTCCTCCGGGTGCTCCGCTTTTCCTTAGTCCAAAGACATGCGGTACAGGTGAATTGGGTAGGCTAAATTGTCCGTAGTGTGTGAGTGTAAATGGGTGTTTCCCAGAGATGGGTTGCAACTGAAAGGGCATCCGCTGCATAAAACTTATGCTGGATAAGTTGGTGGTTTATTCTGCTGTGGCGATCCCAGAGTAATAAAGGGACTATGTCGAAAAGAAAATGAATGAATGAATGAATGAATGAATGGTGTTTGCAAACAAATGAAAATGGCTAAATGGAGCATATATTAACCTACATATTTTCAGTCACAAGATGGCGCCAAACTGTGAAAAACTGTATATACTGTATATTGATGTGAACATATTCACTGATGGTTAAGATGATTAGAAGTTCCCGTGTTAGCCTGTGTTATTCATCGGTTGTTATCTGGGAATAAAATACCTTATAAAGTCGCGACTGACCAATCAGAATGCAGTGTAATAATTCTAGTCAAACACTGAAACTGAGAAGTTCTTGCATTTTTTTTTCTTTGTTTCTCAGGAAGAGAAAGCCAGAAAGACCTAGAAACATTACAGATAGAGGCAGCGAATCTCCGAACAATGAATGAAGATCAGAGACGGCACATTGAGATCTTAGAGCAAGCTTTGAATAATGCTCAGAGTAAAGTCATCAAGCTGGAGGAAGAGGTGAGTGTTTACCATACTGTTAAAACTAACACGATTAGTCTACATAATGATCTGTGAAACATAACTTGGGAAATATATTTGAGAAAGAATAGGGCTTATAATTTATCCCTCAACTTTATATAAGCCACTAAAGTCAGTCTTCCGAGTAAATAAAGTCTTTTCTGTCTCTCTGTGTGCTGTAGTTGAGTAAAAAGCAGAAGTATGTGGAGCGGGTAGAACGGTTGCAGCAGGCACTAGCACAGCTCCAGGTCGCATGTGAAAAACGCGAACAGCTCGAACAACGTCTACGTATTCGCCTGGAACGAGAAGTGGATTCACTGCGAACACAACAGGTCTGTGAATTAAATGAAAATGTATTCATTCGAGTAATGCTGGTGTTGGTGTTGCACTCCTAAAGACTAGCTTTTGTCTTTTTATGTTACAAATAAGCTACAGAAAGTTAAGATTTAGTCATGGGATGTACAAAATACTCAGTGTATTTCATTTCAGACATGTGGACACCCTTTGAAAATGTGAGTGTCATGTCAAAATGTTTGTTGTCATTTGCCAGTTTACCCAATTGTAATTCAGCACCCCGAGTTGCCTTGGTAAAAATAGTGTTTCAGTCTTAAAGGCTGTCAGAATGTTCGCTGACGCAGCCGAAAATGTGACCTCCAGACGACAATAGCAGCCTTTAAAATTATACGCAAAGTTAAAAAACCCTCTCCGATATTTAGATTTAAGACTGCAATACCTAGAAGAGTTGGCTCAATAGACGATGGCCAATAGACATCATGATGCTGAGCTGGCTTCGTGATTCCCTGCCCCGCCCCCATCGCAGCAGCAACCCGCTCGCGAAAACACACACTTAAGCCCCGTTTACACTATTACGTTTTAGTTTTAGGATGGTATTTTAGAATGAAAATGATCCATGTCCACACTGGTGCTTCATCTAGCATTTCTGAACAGCCCTTCGTCCGCTGAAAACACACATTACGTGACCACACACACAGGCTGCGTCTGAAACCACATACTTCCATATTATAGTACGCTAAAATCAGTATGCGAGCCAAGTAGTATTTTTCGAATTCATAGAATGAATTCGAAAATCAGTATGCGAGAAGTACCCGATGACTTGCTACTGCCGGTGATTCTGGAATGTGCATCCCATGCACGCTGTGCTATCCCATAATGCCCCGCGAGAGAATTCATGAATGAGAGTGAAGCAACGCAACTGACACAGGTAGGTCAAGTGACAATGACAAAATGGCGGATGTAGTATGTCTGAATTCCATTCATACTTCTCACATTCATACTGTATAGAACGTACTTTTCTAACGGCCGAGTAGTACGTTTAAATTCAAATGCAGTACCTACTGAGTAGTAGGCGGTTTCGGACGCAGCCACACTCTGTCATGCTCTCTAGCATACATGCACTTCTGAGCTCCAGGAGTCAGTGGGTACTTTGAGCACAAAACCCCAGAGAGCAGTGCATGTCAAACAGTTTATCAAGGATGTACCGCTGGATGGCGTCTCACAATAGTTGTTAAACGTGATATTTAATTAATCTAGTGTCTATCTAACGACTCTTCTGTCTTTTGAATCTTATCAGGTAACGTGTCACAGCATCAGTACACTGCTTCAATCTTTCACTTTCACGCTTGTGCTTAGTAATTTTAGTGAAAACCTCAGCTGTTGGTTGGTTCTTGTTGTCTGTGCACCTTTTTTACCAACCAAGTTTGTGGTGTCATTATAATGACACAGATCACTCAGCCTAGTCCTGCGGAAAAAGTGATTGACAGGTGATAATTTGTGTGTAACTTATCTTTATTTATTTATGATTTGGTTATGGGCAGGGCCAGACGGAATCTGTGGACGTTTTTTGCTATTTCTGCGGAGAATTCTGGTAAAAATCTGTGCATTTCTGCGGAATTATTTTAGGAGTATCCAGCGGAGTATCATAACTAAAACCTTAATATATGAAATAAAAAGTAATTAATTACTGAATAAAAACTGAATAAATTCAGATTTACACATTATTCTCAAGTAAATAAACAGAATTAATGATGGGCTAAAAATCTGCAGAAATCTGCGGAATTCTGCGGAAAATCTGGGGAATTCTGCGCGCGCAGATTCCATGTGGGCCTAGTTATGGGCAAAACAAAGACTATGTGGGTCAGCTAGTTGAAACGGTAGTATACAAACAACTAATTAATTATGAACTAATTAATTATTCATAAATAATTAATTCACCGCCACCTATGACGATGATGCCATCATCCATCGCGATGTTTCACATTAGACATCGTACGATGCCAAATTGGTCGACATCGCCCAACCCTAAGACCTAGATTTACCCTTAGGTTGTCAAACATACTGCACCTCTAACAATAACATTAAGGCCCTGTCCACACCAACACGGATATTTTCAAAACTGCACTTTTTTCTACACTGTTTCACATGAAAACAGAGTGACTGAAACTGGGTATAGCGTGGTTATGTGGACTTACTTGACGTCAGCATGCATGCTGATTTCTCCTATTTGATTGGTCAACATGGCTGGGTTCACACAAAATGCAGAAGATGCTAATTTTGCATGTTCACGGCAAACGCCTTGGCATCACGTTTACATTGACTTGCATGCAACTTGTCCACAAAAATACTTAACTCCCTTAATTTTGGTGTGAACCCAGCATAAAAGTGATATATTGGACATGACCTAACTCCTTTTTGTCTCTGGTGTAGCGTGCTGGTATATCGGTTTCCCGCACCGCAGGTGAGTCCACAGCTCCTGCTGTACTGGATTTGCTAAGGGAGAGAGAAGAAAGGATTCTGGGATTGGAGGCTGATATGACACGTTGGGAGCAAAAGTACTTAGAAGAAAGCGCAATGAGACACTTTGCCATGGAAGCCGCAGCGACAGCCGCAGCACAGAGGTCAGTACATAAATACAGTGATTTTTCTCGGGTTTATTTTCTGTCTGCACTGCTCTACACTAACAAAAACTGATTTTTGCACAAAAAAATTTATTTTGCACATCATTCCCTCTTTGCAAACAAATGGTATAAGGGGTGTGGTTAAAAATATTAATATGTAGTTGCTATTGAAGCTCCCTGCCATCTCTGCCATCCCTGACTCTACATCAGAACTTTTCAATCCAGATGGATGGGGCAACCATTACTGCATCCAAAATGGTGAAAAGCCTTGGAGTAACGATTGCTGACCAACTAAACTTCTCTGACCACATCTCTAGAACTGCTCGATCTTGCAGATTCGCACTCTATAACATCAGAAAAGTCCGACCCTTCCTATCTGAACATGCAGTTTAACTCCTTGTTCAAGCTCTTGTTCTCTCCAGACTGGACTATTGCAACTCTCTACTAGCCGGGCTTCCAGCTAACTCTATCAAACGTCTTCAGCTGCTCCAGAACGCAGCAGCACGAGTGGTCTTCAATGAACCTGAAAGAGCACATGTCACTCCGCTGCTCATTCGTTTGCACTGGCTGCCAGTTGCTGCTCGCATCAAATTCAAAGCTCTGATGTTTGCCTACAAAGCGACTTATGGCTTTGCTCCTTCTTATCTGCTCTCACTTCTGCAGATTTATGCGCCCTCCAGAAACTTGCGTTCTGTTAATGAACATCACCTCGTGGTTCCATCCCAAAAAGGAAATCACTTTCCCGAACTCTCGCGTTCAATCTGCCCAGTTGATGGAATGAACTCCCTAACTGCATCAGAACGGCAGAGTCACTCGCTGTCTTCAAGAAACGACTAAAAACTCAACTATTTAGTCTCCACTTTCCTTCCTAATCTGCAATTACCTCTCCTCACCGCTAACTGTATTACAAAAAAATAAATAAATAAAAAATTACTAATGTTTTTGCGTCTTACACTTTACATACCTGAAACTTGCCTACAGCACTTATTCATTGTTGCTCTTATAGTTGTGTAAGTTGCTTCCTTGTCCTCATTTGTAAGTCGCTTTGGATAAAAGCCTCTGCTAAAAGACTAAATGTAAATGTAAGTTGACGTCAACAGATGGACCACCACTCCAAAAGCAGATACAAATGCTCAAACTTCTAAACCATAAAATCACCATAATATGTTTTCAGATATTTCAGAAACATGCTATGTGAACATTCTTGCTCATCTGAAAAACAATGCTGAAGTCAGATATTCTGCTTTGAAAATGAGTTACTATCCAGAACGTCTGTCTTTGTTTTGGTCATTTTAACCCGCCCAATGCCAGTTTAGCCAATAATATTTCAGCACCCCGGGTTGCCAAAAAAACAGCATATTTCATTTATTCATTCAGTCAGGCTCTGAAAGCATGTGTCCGTGACTGAAATGCGACCTCCTGTAGACAGTAGTACACTTCAAAATGAGACACAGATTCAGAGTTCCACATGAAGTGGTTATAAATTAGCAAATAACATAAAAATTACGAATGTAAACATTAGGTGAGCAGGTTAAATTGTAACCCTGTGTCCTAACAACACGCTGTGTCAGCAAATTTGGAGTGATACACAATTAGGCTGTTTTAACCAGACGAAACGCGACAGAAATATAAATACAGCCATTCAGAAGCACAGAATATGCACTCACTGCACTCCAACGCAATGGTAAGGTTTATAATCTAATTAATACACATTAAACCTCTTTACCTTTATTAAATGTAGATGCTGAATCACTGATATGTGTTGTGAGTCACAGTTCTGAAGCTCAATTTTAAACGATTTATTGTATTTTCCAGATCTGAGGTGAACTATCTGCTGCTGCTTTCAGTAGTATGGCAATAAATGTCACGTGAAATGACATTCAAACTGAAAATACTCCTGTCGTGTGCCGTTGCTTTTATTTAGAACACGGTTTAAATTGGCTTTAGGCTTGACAGTCAGGCACGCTCCTGTTGTTGTCGTCAATCTGGCAACCTGCCATGTGTTTTGAACAAGTTGTGCAATACCTAGTTCAACCACTGGGTGTCAAGCTTACATACTGCACCTTTAAAGAAATTGCACTGCCTGTGTTACGAATACTGACTTTTTTTTTTGTTTAGAGTGAGAAATGACATACTGATATTGTATTGTTTTCAGAGATACAACTATAATCCAGCATTCTCGCAGTGGCAGTTACAGTGACAGCTCTCTGTGGCTGCATGAGGAGGAGAACAGAATTCACAGCGCTCGTCAATCTCAGGAAATGGAGCAAAGGTAAACTCTGCAATATTCCCCATGTGTGTAAATGTTTGTAGAATGTTTAATATATTTAATATATTTTTATTTTTTTATGTATTATAATGTACTAAGTGAGTTTGCATGTTCTTCCTGTGTTGACGTGGGTTTCCTCCGGGTGGCTTCGGTTTCCCCCACAGTCCAAACACATGCACTATTGGTGAATTGGGTAAACTAAATTGTCCATAGTGTACGAGTATGAATGTGAGAGTGTTTGGGTGTTTTCCAGTACTTGGTTGCGGCTAGAAGGGTATCCGCCGTGTAAAACATATGCTGGAATAGTTGGTGGTTCATTCCGCTGTGGCGACCTTTGATAATCAATGGACTAAGCCGAATCAACTAAGTCAATCAACCCACAATACTAGTTGTCTTTAGATAGTGGCCTGAGATATGAGTGCAATAAGACTTGTTCTCCATGTCACAGGATAAAGGACTTGCATGCTCAGTTGCTGGAGAAAGATGCCATGATTAAAGTCCTACAACAGCGTTCTCGTCGAGATCCTGCTCCTCTGCGTCCTGCCCGTTCTGTGCCCTCCATTTCTGCAGCGACTGGACTGCATGCACGGCAGAAGTCTCAGACTGATCCCAGAGACACGCACAGTTGGAAAGGCAGTACAAGTGAGAACACGAAACCCAATTGCAGAGTTACACTCTATCCGATTACATGCATATACACTACCTGACAAAATGTCTTGTTGTGGATCCCAGTTGTAAGAGCAAAAAATAATAACTTGACTTCTTGTTGATCATTTGGAAAAGTGGCAGAAGGTGGATTTTTCTGATGGATCCCAATCATCACCAATACTGCAGAAGACCTACTGGAACCCTCATGGAGCCAAGATTCTCACATAAATCAGTCAAGTTTGGTAAAGGAAAAGTCATGATTTGGGGTTACATTCAGTATGGGGGCGTGAGAGAGATCATTCACTCTGATCATTATCAACAGCCTGAGGTATCAAGACATTTGTGCTGCCCATTACATTACAAACCACAGGAGAGGGACAATTCTCCAGCAGGATAGCGCTCCTTCTCATACTTCAGCCTCCACATCAAAGCTCCTGAAAGCAAACAAGGTCAAGCTGCTGGAGAATTGGCCAGCCCAGTCACCAGATATGAACATTATTAAGCATGTCTGGGGTAAGATGAAGGAGGAGGCATTGAAGATGAACCCAGACTCTTGATGAACTCTGGGAGTCCTACGAGAAAGCTTTCTTTGCCATTCCAGATGACTTTATTAATCAGTGATGTGAGTCATGTCAGAGATGTATAGATGCAGTCCTCCAAGCTCATGATGGAGTCAGACACAATATTCATTCTGTCTCCACTGCAGCAGGACTTTATATTCTATACTGGACATTATTTCTATTCAGTGATGAGACTTTTGTCTGAGCAAAGTCAGACCTTACTGTCCTAATAAAATCATTAAAAATCAAGGCATGATCAGATTTTATTTTGGTAAAATAAGCGTCATCTAGAGGCCTTTGCCTTTCATATAAGCCTCTTCTAATACCAAATGATCAACTAGAAATCAAGTTATTATTTGTTGTTCCTAAAGCTGTGTTCACACCAGACGCGGAACGCGCGGATAAATCGCGCTATTCACGTGTAAATAGCCGCGTGAACATTTGAGTTTACTCGTTTCATTCGCGCGTCAAACCCCGTTTCATTCGCGTGTCAAATTCACTTCAGAACAGATGCGGATTCGCGTTATGGGAAGGGTTTCTGTCTGCCCGAAGACTCTAGCTTCATAGCTAAATGGCTAACATGGATTTTATGAAGAAAATAACAGTGTTAATGTGCTTTATGAAGACTGAAAAACAGCGTCGATACGTTTATGGCCGTGTCTGAGTCCACTACATTCTTTCAGAGGTGCATCCACCTCTGTGACTTCATAAACTCCTCCAGAAACTGAACCTGGATGACGGAGGCTTTCAGCGGTGTTTCTAACTGAGCCGAGCCAGTTTGATGAACTGTTGTCGGTGAAGGCTGGAGGATTTCCCTTGGAACACCAACAACAGGTTCTACGTCACAATCACGCCCCCACAAGAGCAAGCTTCTGATTGGTTAACGCGGCGCGAATGTATGCTGAAGTTCAGAGTTTCGAACTCGAGAGATTCGCGCAAAACGCTCGTTAAGCGCGTGAAATGCGCAAAACGTTCAATTTGCCCCGCGCCATTCGCGCAATTTGCACCATTCGCGCGTATCGCGCCGCAGGATGTCTATTCGCGCATTTGCATTGACTTAACATGTAAATCACTCGCGCTTGACGCACGTTCCGCGTCTGGTGTGAACGCAACATAAAACTTGGACAGGCGACAAGACTTTTGTCAGGTATTGTATACTCAGGAAGGATACACACTTTTAAAGTACACATAACTTTCAAATTTTAAATTGTATGCTCCTTTTATACATTACATGATTGTATACAAATTAAAGATGCTGTAAAAGATTTATTAAAAGTGCTAATGTTATTCAGTCTATACATTGTATATAGTTGTGTTAGAAAAACATCAGTTAGCTCCTAAACCTTTGTTATTGGCAGTACTGCTTAGTGATATTTATTTAACCAGAATCTGGATTATTTCGCCAGAATCTGGTGGATTTGCGAAAACAAAACTGCAAAAAAAAAAAAACAACCCGTAGCTCCTGGGATGCATTTCGTGCTGTCCTGAAATGTATACAGGAGTATGTATCAGTAATGAGCTTGGGTTGTATATGATCTAGTTGCTTGTATTCCTCTGAACAATATTGGAATATCACCTCTCACTGCAGTGTGACCTGTCCAAAAAGAGGTTTTACTAAATATTTGTTTCGTTTATGTTTGCAGATGTACTCCTGAGAAAAAGTCAAGTAGACCACATCCTTCCCTCTTTGCCCCCTCTTTCAGATTCTGTCTCTTCATCTCTCCCTGCCCCCTCACTTTCCTTTCTTCCTCCATCTTTCTCCTCCTCTCTACCTTCCTCTTTTCCTCCCTTCTCGTCCTCTGCATGTTCGAACGCGTCATTATTATCCTTACCCAACTGTGTTCCCAACTCCAGCGCTTCCCGTCTTCCTACCTCTGCCTCTTCCACATTACTGTCGTCTTCATCTATTTCTCTTCTGCCTCCTTTATCACTCTCTCTGCCCTCCACTCCTCTTCTATCTGCTCATTCCAAATCAGCCAGCAAAGACAGTAGCAGTCAAACAGGACAAAGTATGAAGACATCAAGTACTGCTAGCTCCACAGCACAAAAAAAGAGAGGTAAGACAACCAAAATGAATGAGATGAAGGCTACAGTCAAGCTCGAATTATTCATAGCCCTGACAAATAGTTATCTCTGGGATCAACAAAGAGTTACTTTAAGGGTGCTTTCACACCTGTGAATCGATTCAGTTGTTCTGAAACAGAGATTACATTGTTACATTGTTGCTCTTTGCTCTTGGAGCTGTTCGCTTTCACACTGCAAAGTTTCTAATCGGACCAAAAGGGCTAATACAAGTCACGTGCGAGTAAACTCTCCTCACATTGGTCAGAGTGTCAGGGTTTATTTTGCAGAGTCCTGCTCAGCTGTCAGGAGAGGTGGTGGTTTGGTGGTGTTTGACAAGGTGCGCGACGTGTCTGAAGAGTGAGGAGAGATCAATGACTGTAAAAAATATGGACGACGCAACAGCCCCTTTTCCCATTGAACGCCTTGAGGGCAAAACGCCTGCTTGACGGGCACAAACTGTCGCAAAAGACTGCTGAAATTGGAGCCAGACATGCGCAGAAGGACTGTCTGATGGAGCCAGAGGAGGAGCCGCGAAAATGAGCGGAGTCGAGCTTCCAACCAAACGCTTTATGTAAAATCAACCACGCCCCCCGAACTTCTTAGCATGCGTTTGCTGTCATATCAACACAAATGGATGTAATAACGTTAACAAATATGAGGGTTTTATATATTTAATCGCGCCAGCTCCGGGCCGCAGTGCACATATCCTACTTGCGGCGTCGCAGGGTGATTCCGGCTCGCATGTGGCAGCGGCGGCTCGCTCGGCCGCCGCATCTGGCTCGATTGACTCGGGCTGGAATCGGGCAGTGAGTCCAGGCATCCGGAGTAGGTCCAGCAGAGGAAGTCAGTCTGAGCTCTGAGGGGTAAGTCTCCGGCAGGCGAGAATCTAGCTGGAACTGGCCCGCGTGTATTTTGCTATCTGGGTGGTTAGGCGTGTATCAGCAAACTAATAAAGCCCGAAATAAGCCCTGACCTTAGCGAATAAACAGTGTTCCACCAGGATCATGTATGTCAGAAACTATAGTTTACTGCTGAACTCATGTTGTCATGGTAAAATAACACAGAAATCGAATAATAACACTTCAGTCTCCTGCCGAAGCTCAGACGGTCTGCTTTGAGAAACTGTCAATCACAGCTGTCAATCACGATGACACGCCCAGCATTAAATTACTGCTAAAAACAAACTGTTTACAAAAATGAAGATCTGCACCTATTTTAGCACAATAACCAGTGCCTTAATCCACCAGAACCATCTTTCGGGACATTTTATTGCAAGTGTAATATTTTTTTTTATTTGGGCTCAAGTCTCCTTCATTAACACAGAGGAGGCGGGCTTTATGACTTGTACTGCAGCCAGCCCCCAGGGGGCGATCTAACGGCCGAGACCTTCACTCAAACGCAGGCTTGCGGCACACTTGGGAGAGATGCGGTGGGGAGGGGTGAGAAGAGTTCGTGACCTAGCCTATTTGAGGACCGGGAGGGAGACCCGAGATTACCGGGAGATTATTATTTGTTTGCAGGCATCCGGAGACTCGCGAAACTTCCCGCCCTACTCATAATTCTCTCTTCATATAGCCGTAAGCCTATTACATATCCATAAAACACTGTGATGTAACCGCACTCGGATCGTTTGCTTTCTCACTGCAATCGATTCACTCCAGAGTTCGTTTCAATCGAGCCGAGGCCACCTCATTCAAGCGATCTCGAAGCGATTGATTTGGCGCAGATCAGAGAGCGATTGGTGGATTCACATATGCCAAACGAACCGTGCTAACTGGGCAAACGAGACAGGTTCCCAAACAAAAGTGAAGGTGTGAAAGCACCCTTAGTCAATCAGCAATTTTTTTTGTCCGAAAATGACACAGGCTTCTCCCAAAAGATGATGTACAAGAGGCATCATTGTGGAAAGCAATATTTCTCAGCTATTATTTACATTTGAACCAAAACTTTCAGAATGTTCCAGGAGTATTAATAATTTTGGGCTTGACTGTATGTAGATTTTTGTCCTATTATTTTTAAGTGTTAACAATAATTTGTATATATTAACACACGTCTTTATTTAAATATACAGAAAATATGTGTAATCCGTACTTAAAATATAATAATTATCTACTTTGAGAATCTGCGTGTGGGAATGTCTGTCTTTGTTTTGGTCTCTACACCATATTTAATTTCAGTCTTGAAGGCTGGCTCAGTGTATGAGGGCTGAAAAATGCGACCTTTGGTCTCTAAAATGAAATGCAGATTCAAAAACCACATGAGGTGTTTTGTAATTAGCAAATCATACAAATATTACAAACTGAGCAGCTTAAGGCTGACTTATACTTCTGTGTCAAGCGCATACATATGGTCCGATGCAGCCCTCGCAGACCCCTCACCCTGGCTGACGCCGATGCTGACCTCTAAAAAAAATGTAACGACACGTAGCTTAAGCTCTGTGATTGATTATTTCCACCTGGAGATACTCATCCCGAGGCCCCTAGAGACAATGCAGCGCCATTGATGCGAAGACCTGTGGAGAAATGATGCCAAGGTATCCATAATCGTGGACCAGGCCGTATCCTGAGCTGATGCTGTGGTGGTCATGGAGTGCATGAGCTGATTCCTGAAAGACCACAATGACAAACAAGTCCCCGCATTGATCCTGTGGGCCAGCCTGACCACCTGTAAGTGCCCTACTCGCACCTGCAGTTCTCCACAATGGACATCCATCGTTCTCCAGCCTCCGGCACCCAGACTGCAGCTCCGCACAGGAAGTTTGGCCAGAAGATTAATGATCGTGCACAACAGAGCCTGGTTTCTCTTGAGGTTTTTTCCCTTCACTTTGTCAATTGGTGTAGTTTTTTCCTTGCCGCTGTCGCCACCGGCTTGCTCGGATCGGGACTTGTGGAACAGCGCATCGATGGAGATACTCTTCAGCGTTTGAACTTGCAGTGAAATTAAGACCACACTGAACTTCAACTCTGAAATCTGGACTTTACTAGAACTACGCTAAGCTGCTTTAACAAAATCTACATTGTAAATTGTATATAAATATACATGAATCATCCAACACTTCTAATCTAATCAGGGAAAAGTTTGACAACAATGTCATTTCTGTTTTCGCGCAGAATCTCCATCCAGCCAATCTAAAGGCCTGGAGGGTCGAGCACAGCTGACTGCAGGACAGAAGATGCCCTTGCTTGATCTAGATCTTGTGGAGATCCTTATCTGAAACAAACCAACCCTGGAAATAACCTTTTCCTACAGCACTTCAGAAAGAAGCAAGCAAGAGTGAGAATGTGAGGAACAAAAATGTGACACAGAAAAAGGAAGAATCCACAGAAAGAGCTGTGCAATAAAGTAATGGATTACATGCTGAGAGAAAGAAGAAAGTAAGGATGTGCGGAGTAATTGTTCAACACTGGCCTCCAAAATACTAACATCGATTTTATTTCTGAATTCTTACTCTGTCCTGCTTTGACCTTTGGACATTTGACATGTGGTCTGGTTAATTATTGCATGCCTATTGCTGTTCTGTCTTAGGCTACATCTACACTAATCCAGATACATTTGAAAATGGCATCTTTGTCTAACAACGCTCCACACTGTGCGATATGTGCAAAAGAAACCTATCATGATTTTCTTAAACAATAGTGCGATTTTAATTTTAATCCCAATTTTAACACACACAGACGTTTTACAGTGTGAATCTGAAACAAATTTCCAAAGGAAAACAGTTAGATCTTTATAAAAGTCCCATAACGTCTCTAAAACAGACTCAAGGCAAAACAAAAATAAAAATCACCAAGTAAAGGTGTAACAAATTGTCTCTAGAACAGGGACCTCATGTATCAACGCTGCGTACGCACAAAAACTGCGTACGCCAGATTTCACCCTCACGTTTGGATTTACTAACAATGAAATTAACGTGAGAATGTGCGTTGTTCCACGTCAACTTCATGTCTGGCGTACACGCATTTCTTGTATGTGTTTGTTTTATTTCCATAGACTGATTTCACGCGGCTGGCATTTTCAAAAGCGAAATCGAGGCTGCGGTGGTAAGAAACCCGGAAGTATCATTGGGAGTTACATAGGAATGTTGTGTAACTGGATAAATAGCTTATCAGCGAAAAGAAAGTGACACAAATTTATCATTTCACCACCTTCCGGGTGACCCGAAGGTCCGTTCTGAATAAATGGTGAATATAAAAAGGGATATCAGAGCTCATTTTCAGTTAAGTTAAAGGAAATGGCACTAGTTAGCTAACGTTTTCTTTCCCAAACACACGTTTTGGATGCCATTTATCAAACTCGAGTTAATAAACGAAGTCTTTCATTATATTAGACTCGTCACGATACTGAATTAAAAGAAAAAACATAAATTTCCCGCGAACATTAAGGTACGGTTGATGGCTTTCTTGCTTTCATAAAACAGCATTGATTTGCCCTCGTGTTCACGTGTTCAACAGAAATGACTGTGATTGGCCGAGAAGGTCATCAGTTCGCCCTCCGCTGTGTTTACCGAGCACACACGCAACACAGACAGAGGAGCGATCTGCTTGATGACTCGACTGATCTTGACGGCTGCTTCGCGCTTCAGTCTTCGTGTATCTGTGTTTGCACTGGGTGAAGAGCAGTAAACTGAGTGCAAAACAAACACGGATACACGGATACTGAAACGCGAAGCAGCAGCCTTGAAGATCAGTCGAGTCATCAAGCACTCAGCGGCGCTTCCATGTTAGCGGGAAATAGCCGGGTTTAAAACTTCAGTACCAGGACAACACTATTATAGACAACACGAGGATGTGCTGCAGACGACTGCAGTGTATATCACTCACCGGGTTACATAGGCTAAAGCAGGAAAGCGTCCTCACAGTGTTTAACTGGTGCCCTGAACTGAAGCCTAGGAGGACACAAGTTTAAGCGTATCACTGAGATTGTGATCTTGTTTGATGCTAAATTGCTTTTAATTGTTTAAAATAAACTTGCAGAATCATATTAAAGTGATGTTTACACCATTTCTGCATTTTAAAATCTCGGCAACAGCTGGAGGTTTGTAGTGCACAGCATGTTACTGCAATGTTTACAGTGCAGGTCCTACACTTCCGGGTTTCTTCCCACCGCAGCCTCATTTTGGTTCTTTAAAATGGCGGCCGCGTGAAATAAGCATATCGGCGACTCCTAGAGGCAGTTGTGTTAAATTGCACACTACAAAGTATCTTTGAGCCGTGCAATGGCAGCTGTATGGGACGAGATCATCCGCATATCTAGCAGGTTTATAAGGTTTCCATACCATGCAGTTGACCAGCCAAACATTAAAGCACAACTTGCAGCGATCGTCGGTTTTCCCAATGTAATCGGAGCGATCGACTGCACGCACATTGCTAAAAAGGCGCCATCTGAAGACGAATTTACATACGTGAATCAGAAACATTTCCATTCAATAAATGTGCAAATAATATGTGATGCTCGAATGCGCTTAACATAATACACACACTTATTAATGATTCCTACTTGTCTTCCTCGTGATGAAGAGTAGACAAAATCTGATATGCAGTAGGGGAGAGAAGAATGAGTTCATCAGGTGCTGGATTACAACCGGGTTCATGAATGATAGTGTCAAAACATGTTGCCGTGCGCTACGCCATTCACGCTGCTGATGCCGTCCCTCTTTAGCTTTGTTGTCTCTGCCGATCAAACGGGCGGAAATCACTCAACTAGCTCATTCCATGACAAACTTGCAAATAACACCGTTTTTCTCCGGTCTACCTCCGATTGGAGCACCTCCAATTCACATTCTGTTCAAAGTTTCTCTTCTTGCTTGCTTGCTTTTGCCGTTGCTTTTTCGTTTGGTTTTGCCAAGGTAGAGTCATTAGCATATTCATACGGGGGAGGAGGCAGGGAGGGGTTTTGCACTTATGCATGTTGCGCTCAGTTTCACGTTAATTCAGATCTACAAAGAGAATATGTGTGGGATTCCGCGTACGCAGTGTTTCATACATCTGAATTTTTTACTGCGTACGCACATTTACAGCTTTGTGCGCATGCAGTGTTTTAGTATGATTTCAACGCAAGTCTTCGTACATGAGGCCCTCCGGTCTATGGCAAAACAAATAAATAGGGTGCTGTGTGTGTGCCGTCAAACCCAAGTTTCCGATGTTCTGCTTGACCACATGTCAGAAGTAGTTGTGTGTACTTTTCTACGTGTCCACAGATTGTTTTTTCATGCATAGATCATAGAGACCTCTTTGTGATGCTGCCATGAAATTGGGCGTTTACATATCGCGTCTTTTGCCTGCACACGTTCACTATTTCCAAAAGAGGTGAGTGGCTTGCGCTCGCAAATTCAGGCATGTGATTAGCCGAAAACAAGACAGACGAGATTCCCCCCTTTAAAAAAAGTTGTTCACGTTAGACAGCGTTTTCAAAAATATACATATTTGTTTTCTACAAATGCTGCCTCAGTTTAGACGTAGGGCCAAAACAAGTCCACATTTTAAACGAAAATGTATTAGTGTGGACAAGGCCTTAAGATGTGTTCGTACACACCGGGACGCTTTTCGTTTGCATTTATCATCAGCGTTTTACGAGACGTTTTTTCACATTTAAACCCAATCGATTTTCACTAGCGTCAAGCAGAAGAGTATACAAAATTACTCCTTGACGTTAGATGGCGCTACACAACTTTAAGCTAGCAAAACCCGCTTGTAACACAGAAGAAGAGGAGGAAGGGAAGTTCACACTCTTGTTGTTAAAGTTACTGGTGACTCGAACAAGCATAGATGGTTCAATTAGCAGCTTCAGCTCTAGCGATGAAGAAATGGTTATTGTTCACAGAGCAATAAGCAGCTCTACGTTCATATCGCCTCTGGGTCTCTTCTTTAAGGTGCGCTTGCATTGACGGTTTTGCGCCTGTTACTTCAGCAGCTCCATGCACGTGAACAAAAGTGCCAATCTGATTGGTGAAGAAGGTTTTGACGCGGCATGTCAAATAAAAAAAAACAAGCATGAGGCGTTTTTTTTTTTAATGACGCTTTTGTGCCTGCCGTTTTGCGTGTTGGTGTGCACGATCAAATTGGCGCCCTTTATTTAGTCAGGAGGCGTAAAACATCGACGGAAAACGCGAGCAAAAAAACGTCTCTGTGTGCACGGGCCTTTAGTTTATCACCTGCGTCAAAAGTGCATTCCACTGAACAGATAAAATACAGAAAAAACTATTTTGTAACTCTACAGAAAGCAGAGTTTTTTGTCTTAAAGCAAGCTTGCCGCAAATAAGTGTTTATTTAAATTTACAGTAGCCATTGTTGTTTTGCGTTGTGTGTTTTGCTTCCCTGAAAAAAAAAAAGTGTTCTTTGACTGATTAGAATATATTAGAAGTTGCGCTACTACTGTGCAGTTTGGGGATTTTGACGTTTTTAAGCGTGTAAGCAATCGTGTTTAAATCCGTCTCTTTTTTGCTTTAGACAATCAATGGCTGACTCTTTAATTTTACACTTTGTTTTTTAAAAGTTGAGTCAATTAGCTTCCAGAACTGAGCGTTGAATTGCACTATGCTGCTTTTTTATTTTTATTTACTGATTTTAATTATTTTATATATATATATATATATATATATATATATATATATATATATATATATAACTGAACTTTATGTGATGTGTGCCACTTGGACAAATGAATTTCCCTCTGGGATTAATAAAGTTAAACTAAATCAAATCAATTTTAGTTTTCTAGTCATCTCAACTTGCCTCAATCTAACTAAAGTATTAAGTTAGACGAACTTATTTTTACTTCTGGCAGTGTTCTGAATTTTGAGTATACAAAAATATGTCTTCTTTTTTGCTTTTGTTTAACTGTCTTCATTTGAATCTGGCCAACAGATACTATGCGTACTGTAAGAGAACAAACGAAAAGTTTAGATGCAAAAACCTCTAAAGGCCATTTGATATTTTGCTCTAAAATTAGAATTTTTCTCCAACTCTTGTGGATAGGCTCAATAATGTTACATTTATAGTGAAGGAAAGGTTCTGTTCATTGCCTTTCAAGTAAAATAACTGAACATGAACAGCAGGTTGAGATAAATTGTCATTTTAGATGGCATTTAGAGATTTTTTGGCATCTGAACTCTTCATATATTCCCCAAATTTCATCCAAAATGTTCGAAATAAACACATCACCTGCAATTTTTTTTATACATTTAAACATATCGTAGGTCATTAAAGCAATTTATGTAATACATTTTACTTTTTCAGGACTTCTTTTTTCTTATTTATTATAACTACTGCTGAACATTTCCCTTAGAATGAGCGTATTCAATTAAATTAAATTGAGTTGAGTTTTTTTGTAATTGTTATAAATAGCTACTAAGTGAAATCAGAGCAGCCTACAATGTTAAAGTGCAATTGCTAAGGACATTTCAATAGCCGCAATCTTCTTTTTGACTAATAAACAGATTCGATTTTTGTTTTTCGACTCGGCGCTATCTCACGCCAATTCGTAACTTCAAATATTCCTTTAATTTCAACCAAAATGTTCGAAATAAACACATCACCTGCAATTTTTTTATACATTTAAACATATCGTAGGTCATTAAAGCAATTTATGTAATACATTTGACTTTTTCAGGACTTCTTTTTTTCTTATTTATTATAACTACTGCTGAACATTTCCCTTAGAATGAGCGTATTCAATTAAATTAAATTGAGTTGAGTTTTTTTGTAATTGTTATAAATAGCTACTAAGTAACATCAGAGCAGCTATAATGTTAAAGTGCAATAGCTAAGAACGTTTCAATAGCCGCAATCTTCTTTTTGACTAATAAACAGATTCGATTTTTGTTTTTCGACTCAGCGCTACCTCACGCCAATTTGTAACTTTTTGATTTAGTGACAATTTTTTTGTGGCTGCAAATTTAAATTTTTCAAAACAAATCAGCACT